ATTAATAACAATCCTTTATCCAGGATGAACTCTGTCAAATATCTTGGTGTAACCACAGATAGCCATCTTCATTGGTCAACCTGTACCATATCTTGGTCGTCTACTCATAAACAAAGAGCGGACAATAAGTGAGCTTAGTCAGCTTTGGATTATGAAACGTAATTTGTAAAAATTTTCTCCTCGCTCATTATACAGATTGTGACGGTTAGTGTATGACTGTTTTTAACTGAAATGTGAGCTGCAGCGCTTGCAAAAGTTATACACAATACAATGTAAGACTACTGGACACACCACAGAATAAACATGCTGTGTGTGTAACCAAAACAGCACCGACAGTTAACTGTTAAACACGGNAAACACGGTGCTGTATGTAGTGTTAGAAAGCATAAAGAGCACGTTGTGCTTTCATAATTCGTTGGTACGGTCAAACTCGGTAGGTATGGATTAGCATCCCGATGTGGAGGGGGTTTGTTAACTAACTCGGTACCCATAGAAAGCCGCAGACCAACAGGCAACCCTTGATCTGTATAATTCGACAAAAGTCACAATATTGAACTTTCCACATATCGGCAAGGTGATCATTATAATGGCGAATTAAGATAGCGATCCTGTGCACTGGGATGTCATCACCGTCACACAACACGTGAAAATCGTTCCAGGTAAGATCTCTCTGCATCAGTCGATTGGTCTGTTTGTCTATCTACCAGGGCACAGATTCCGTTCGGGCGCTGCGTCAGACATGTGCAAAACCTTCATCGTGACCAATAACAACGGAGAGAGAGAGTGACGTGAATGTCTTTCTATCGTTAAATCAACCAATCATCATTTGCACCAGAAGTACGTGGTTGTGGGAATCGGTCGTGCACGAACGCAACCACACAAACACACGCAAATGTCAGAACATCTCACTATGTCATCAGTAATTGAAGCACAGTTTCACATGTTCTCTGAGTAGTGCAACTGTATTCATCTCGAATTATTTTTGTGCAACCGAGCGGATCATAAACCATGGAATAATTTTTCCGATCGACCGCATTAATGTGCCAGTTTACTTGAATGGATATGCTTATCTCACTGAGCAATCCCACTGTGGTGATAATTTTGTGCATGTTTCAAAATATCCCCCTGATTTTGTGCAATACGCCGATACCTGTTGTTATTCGCGGTCAAAATGAGTTTGTTCCGTGCACTTACGAACCGGACCCCGGTGAATTGAAAGCGCACATTTTGACATGCGACGAAGAAGCCAGTCGTGAATTCGGTAATCAATTGCCAATTATACAGGCAGACCAAATCCCTTTGTCGGAGATACGAATTCGAGGAACACCGGAAATGACCCATTGCCCGAATCGAGCGTTTCAAGATGTCAATTTGGATGTGGATCGTGCTCGGGGTCATTTGGGGAGTGTGGTTCGTCGCGTGGAAATCAGCGGGGCTGGCATTATTCACATAGAACCCCAATGTCTGGACGGATTGTTTACGGTGAAAGAACTGCGTATTCTGAACGCACCAGGTAGTGAGTCAGGTCAAAACAAAGAATTGGCGCAAAATTTATTTCGAGGTCTCCAGGGTTTGCGGAATTTGGAAATTCTTCATCTGGTTCATGTTGATTTGTCCGGGGGTATCCCGGCACATGGATTGGGAAACTGGACAGATGAATTACGTTATGTGCACCTAGAACGAAATCGTTTGGGTCCGATTGACTCGGATGCGTTTTACAAATCTGGTACGTATCGATCGGTGCTACGTGAGTTACGAATAGAGGGGCAATTGGAAGCGTGGCGCTTAATCAAGAACATGCCACAATGGGCCAGGAGATTGGTCAGTTTACGAACACTAAGTTGGAGGCGATCGCAACTGCAACCACCACCAGAAGAGGGCATTATCCAAANCAATCAACGAACTCTAAACTGATCAATCTGATTTTGGACGACTGTGAGTTGACCCGTTTGGTCAGCCAGCGAGCCGAACACCTGCCCGGTTTGAGCCTCGATCCACTGGGACCTTATTTGCAAGAGCTCTCGGTAAATCGGAATAATTTTGGCAGTATGGAATCTGTGGATCGGTCTTTGGTTGGGCTACGAGTTCTATCACAACTGCGACTGCTTCGACTCGAATATAACCGGACACCTTTGAATCGTTTACCAGAATGGTTTTCTTATGGAGGTTTGGATGAACTGCGTGAATTACGGCTACGGAAAAGTGGGTTATCAACTATTCTGAGCAATTCATTCCCATCTAAACTGCAGAGGTTGCATCTGAGTGCCAACCCTTTACGGTATGTGGATGCGAACTGGATGAACAATAATCGTCAGGGTTTGAACGAATTGCA